GTTTATGGGCTGCCCAGCCGGCTCTTTTCGGGTCTGTAGGCAAATACGTACGCGTTTGCAGATTTTTTTCCCCCTTTAAAAAAAGCATTCCAGCCCTGTGGGATGTCTTGAAGCTTTTCAGTGCCTGAATTTCTCTCTCCTTGTCTCTCCTAAGTACCAGACTCTGCAAGAGTAGCTCATAAACAGGCTCCTTCGGAAAAGAGTGTGGGGGGGAAACGGTCAATTTGAAGAAATAGCCCCTCTTGCAATGAAGAATGAAACAATATCTTCTTCTCATGCAGAATCTAAATGAACCACTAAGTGAGGTCTGTCTCCCTTGCCCAGAGGGATTCTGTACGTGTTTATGCATGGAAAGGAGAAAGGAACAGAAGACTTGCTTGCAGGGGCCAAGTTTTGCCTCCTCCCTTCACCCTAATTTCTCAGGAACCATGGAAACAAATACACCCCTCCTAGAGGATGTTTCCCTGATAGTCCTTTGTTACCTAACCGTGCGCCTGCCTGGGATCCCATGGGGAGAATGAAAGGAAGAAGTGCAAAAGAAAAAGTATGTCTGCAATGAAATGCCTGGTCTCTGAAAACAGAATGGGGCTCGTGTGTAATTTATCAAGCTCTGGGGCAACAATGTTCCGGGGCACCATTTTCCTTTTCCCTGACACAGGGTCACTCCTTCCCATCCCACGCTAGCCACACACAACCTGTGAGGCTCCCTCAAAGGTATCCTTTGGCTCATCATAACGCTTTGTTGGCAGGGTCTGTTAGTCACCCAACGGCCGGAAGACTGTATTTTTAAAATTTGCTGAGGAGCAATTATGTCACCTATAATCAGCCGGACCAAAGTCTAAGGGCTCAGAACCAATGAAAGAAGCAAATGTTCGTTGTGTGGCTGTAAACGCAGGAAAACATAAACACAGAGAGCTCGGATGATGCCCTCCATGTTTCCTGAATCAACCAACCGTGGACCAAATGTTGTACCAGATTCTATAAGGGAAAACCCCAGGAATATTCGGCTGGGACAGGGAAACTGAGGCAGGAGTCAGAACAGAGATGCATGAAACCAGCTTTCCCCATGCAGCATCTAGTACTGAGGCAGAACCAGAGTCCTCTTAGCTACCTCAACAGCTGGGACACATGAGGGCCTTTTCTGCACTCTAAGATGACTAAAGTTCAACCTGTTACAGAGCGATCAAAGGGATAGCTTCTTTTTTTCCCATTCTGTTATTTTAAAAAAAGGAAAGCAGATCTAATTCCAAAAGAAATATGTACAGGGGCACCTGGCTGGCTCAGTCAGTTGAGAGATCAACTTCAGCTCAGGTCATGATCTCGTGGTCTGTGAGTTCAAGCCCCACATCAGGCTCCGTGCTGACAGCTCAGAGCCCAGAGCCTGCTTCGGATTCTGTGTCTCCCTCTCTCTCTGCCCCTTCCCCGCTCATTCTCTCTCTCTCCCCAAAAAATAAACATTAAAAAAATTTTAAAAAGTCTCCAACCAAAGAACTGATGGATATTTTACCAATCAAGCAGATCACATCTGGCTCTGCAAACGCTCAGTTGTAAAACTATGAGGGATAATTGCTGTTGAATTAAGCAAACAGTTCCTGTTCTAGGAGTTTTAGGGTGTGGGCTATTTTACAAAGGAAAGATGGAGTATCAAACAATGAGCCGTTTAATCCAGCCAAAGAAATTGCCAATGAGGAAAGGGCAGGGGAACCATACGGAATGATTCTGAGACTCCCAGTCTTTCAGCTGTGGGGTCAAACACATAAGAATCACATACTCTATGTCCACACGCTGTTACTGGATTCCTCCTCCTGCAACTCCAGCAAATAATCAGACTTTGTTGGGTTCTGTGAGCACAACTTTTCTTATGTTTTCTATGATGAAACCCGCTAAGAATTTTTATGAAAACAAAAACCATCGGCCTTCTTTTGGAAAGATGTGGAGCTGATATTCATGTCTGTATTTGTGTCTTGGGGTATCCCAAGGTAAAATTTTTTTAAGTTTAT